ATTTCCCGTACTTTTTCAAACTAATTTTTCATTGGACAACAATGACGTCATCGACTATTCTGCTTGGATTTGTGCGCTTGGCAACGTTAAACTCTGAAATATCGTAAACGTTATAATCTGTATGTATCTGTCGTAATTTCAAATTAATATATTACTTACCAGAAGCAATTGAAAAAGAAAATCTACGAGACATATTTCAAGAACTAAAACATGTAATGTATGGTATTGGTCTGTCGTCGTCTTCATAATCTGGGATTGCTTTGGTGTACGGTAAAATATTTTAGCTAATGTTTATCAGATGCACGGGAATTTTTACACAAGGATTCCTGGTCTTGATTACAGTAAATAGATTATTGACAAATACCACACAGGGAAAAAAACCTGATAGTTCATGTTGTACATGTCTATGTGATCATTTTTTTTTTCAAGTGGTGTATGTAGTCTTTTTAGAAAGTTGTTTTGTTCGGTATAATAAAACACTTAATGACTGGTTATGAGGGTAATAGCAAGTTTGTTGTCCCTTTGAAACTAACTATTGACCTCGGCTTCGCCTCGAGCAATAGTTGGTATCTCAGGGACAACAAACTTGCTTTTACCCTCATACCCAGTCAATATGTGTATACTATTTTATTCAAAGGTCAAAATATAGGGCTGTGCGGCATATTTTCAACATTTATATGCCCCAAACTTCTAAGAGTTTAAACTTATACTAAAATTCTGTACTACCCCTACCTTCAATTTGGGTCTTCCTCAGAATTAAATTTTTGCCGCTACCATGTGTTTCTATACTGGTAACATTCCCAAGTTATGTCTCTATGAGATGAAACACAGAGATCATATCTGGGAACCAGTACGTTAACAAAACAAAATATCTATGAATATTATATATCTCCCCAAAAGAGGCGTGGCTTGTGAAACAGCTGTATTTACAAAGTGCAACCTAAAATGAACCTTTTCCTTGGCTACCAGATTAATAAATACTTATTTCCCCAATAGACTCTTTTTCCTTGGCTACAAGATTAATACTTATTTTATTATATAATCTTATCTAATAGACTTTGCTCAGATATCTTTGTTATCTTTGGAAACTGTCAACAAAAAATAGATTCTTCACTGTTTCACATGCCATTCCTAGTCATTTTAATTTGTTAAAATCAATATTTTTTCATGTTTTGAATAATTGAATAGCAACAGAAGTAAATGGGAACAAGTGCAAATTGTCCAAAATAATGTTCAGAGCATTATCAGGAAATTTTGACCATTTTCCATGTTGGTTTCAAAAAAATAATGTTGTCCAAATTACAAAACATTTTTAGTCACAACATTTTTAATGGTCGGTTAGCATGGTTAGGCAATGTTGAGTTGGGGAAACACACATTTTTTTTCAGTTTTGATTCAATTATGTATAATTACAATTTCGTTCGATTCTATAAAGAACAAGACCAATACTGAGTCTGGACGTGTGTTGCTGCATACAATTTCTTTCATTAAAGACAAAAAAAAATATGACGAAAATTTTATAATGAGTGTTGTAAATTTTCAAAATATCGGTGAACAGGAAGTGGCTGCATGGCAAATGTAAAAATTCTTTACTCGCTACAACATACGATTATCAAACTGCAGACTAAATATTAAATCATTCCTTTTCATAGAAGGTCTTTCGGGACAGACAGACAGACAAATGGACATACAGGCAGAGTCAAGCTGTTACTAGACCTGTTATTACCTTTGGCAATGCAAGTAAAAACAGTATGAGTAACATGCTTACAAATTCTGACAATAATCTGATTTTTGACGACTAATGTTAAATAACTCTGAAAATTCATATGGTCAAAATAAAATCTCCAAATGGAGATAAACCAGCTTCTTAAAATGTCATGGCATTTCAAAATAAACTGTAGGAGAAATTGTGCTCACAACAATTGTAAATGATTTTTGTTAATGATTTTTATTTAAGTTTTTGCAAATAACTCTGGAGTTATTCACCACAAATAGGCGAATTAAGTTATAAATGCACATCTCAACGTAAGGGTTAATAACTGCATATTATTCAATCAAATTCCAAAGTATACTGTAGGACAGATAGATGGTGCTTTAAAAAATCCTTGACAAAACAAAAAGAAAAAAGCATTCTAAGGGTATTGTATATGTAATATAATGTCACGTGCTGGAAGGAACAATGGATGAGTTAAATTTAACACTGATATGGGTCAAGCTTTCAAATGAACATCTTTCCATAAAAAATCCTTAGAGTACTACATGCAATGCCTCAATTGTCCTTAATTGTCATCATACAGCCTTGAAATTGGGAGTAACATTTTATTTTTGACAAGAGATCTGACTAGTTTGTATATAATATTGTATCCTTTTTAGGACTGAAAATTTGACAATATTTTTACTATAGTGTATTATTTTATTTTTATGATAATTAGCATGATTAGGAAGAATCAATGACTGCAGAACTGCTTAATGAACTTTGTAGTGAAACAAATGCCAGATGTCTGATTTAATTCAGAAATAATACTTTTATTCCATGCTCTATGCTCATTTTAACATGGGTAAACATTATATTTGTCAATATCTTTATATCGTGCGTTACAACTTTTATTCTCTATAATACACGTTCGAAAGGCAGCCATTTTGAATTGAAGAAGCCAAAACGATATAAAAAAATAACCGTTTCACGATAAAAAATACACAGATACATGTAAACTTACTTTTAGAATGATTTTATTTAATTTCTTAGCGAGCAACACCAACACAAATGTCCATTTTGATCTGACGTTGCAATTTCAATTGTGACTTCAATCATGTGCACTTTGTGCAGCCCATGTTTTATTCGAATTAGAACATGGCTTTGTTTTCAAAGCAAAAGAATAACGTCATATTGTTACGCTCTGGTCATTGGCCTCATGTCATGAACTAAAACTTGTAAAACATGTATTTTTCTAGTTGTGGCCTCCGTTCCACACTTGTCCATGCAGATGTCTCCGGATACACCTCGTACTGTATTTTTATGAAAGGAGTGGTTTACCTGGTTAAAATCTATTAAAAGATGCTATTCAATCGATGTATCATCTTCTTTTACAGGTGCATTTGTCCACTACTTTCACTTTTCGGCGCCATTCTTTACGTTGTGTATTTCTTGTGTATTACGTCATTTGTGGGCGGAGCCAAAAGTATATATAGCAAGTTTGCGTGCACCGAGTAGGCTTTTCACCTCACATGCAGAAAGTTCACTGTTTCTAAATATTAGAAAACAATAATATTGCACCAAGCAAAACATTGTAAATGCTGTAAAAATGACGCAGAAACATATTAGTTTTGGATAGAAATTGGTAAATATCTATTCCGAGAATAAAAAATAAAAAAATATTTTAATTCACTAATCGGAGGCTATCCTAAAACTCAGTCGTCTGCAGTATTGCACCAAGCTGTGTAGTCGGTGTTTTTATTTTGGCTAGCACCAAGCAGATTTGCTGGGTGCTACACCAAGTGAAATTACTTGGTGAAAAAGTATTTTTATTCAAGAGAAAGCTTCTAAATATTTACTTATTAGTCTTTTATTTATCCTTATGAAATTATCAGGTCAACTATATATATATAACCTGCACCAAGCAGGGTCCCAAATTATTTTCTGTGCACCAACTAAATTGTCTTGCACCGAGTGCTAATATGAACTACTATTAAGCCTTTAGGGACAAATGCACCTATATTTATTATAATATATATCTCTTTTCATGTGTTTTATGAACCACTGTCTTTGTTGTATTGCATATTACTGAAGCAGAAGATATTACAATTTATGAACTTCCATTATGGCTTTTATTATTACTTCCTTCACCAGAGGCCCACATAAGTAACACGGGTATCCTGACTCGAAAACCCTGGAACGTTACAATATTAAAATCATATTTTAATACTTTAAGAACTTTCCCATATATGCATAGCCATTGACCAATGTTGACAGTTCGTATCAGTGATATAATTAGAAAAAAATAATGGGAACTTTTTAGCAGTTGACAGAATGTAACCTCTAAACTTATTCATTGTTATATGCAGTGACAGATCACATTCATTAATAGAACTTTCGTTTATAGAAGACCAAACCTGTTCCTAAGTGAAGCTGTATATTCTGTAGAATAAGCAAATAGTTTGCATTTCATTATTGTCATTTTAGTCTCTCAGTTTTTTGTAGATGGGTTGGAATTCACATATGTTTTATATTATATGTTATACACTTGTACCATGGATTGAAAAGTAATTATGATTTGTCTTCAACTCTTGACTTTAATTTAGTTTTGAATGTTTTGTAATTTGTAATATAAGCCATAGAATTAAACATGGTTAAAGGACAATTTTGCATGTAGCAAAAAATCCTTACTAATTTAATTATCAAATTTCATGATGTTATGGGGCCTCGGTGACCAAGTGGTCTGAGTAGTTCAACTTCTGTATCACTAGTCTGTCAACAATGAGGTCGTAAGTTGGAACCCCACATGTGGCAGGTGCGCTAGACTCCTAATTTTAAATGAAAAGGATTTGTTAGTTTTCCTGCCAAAAGTCATGGTTCTCTCCACCAATAAAAACTGATCTCTATTATCAATCAATCAATCATGATGTTATAATTAGATGTACCAACTTACAGACTAAGACTGTTCCATGCTTATCCATTAAACTATTAATAGAACACACTCCATTTATTCATGACACTTTAGTACCTGTTTCATACTTGACAATCTGATAGATTGTCAGATACAGCTTTTTCTTGTCATTTTATGTTCATTTACATAAAAATCCAAAGGTTACAGATATTCAGATACATGTATTACCGTACTGTTGTCATGTATGTTCAACTAGATCTTCAAGTTACATGAAGACACTGTAAACAGCATTATTTCTAAGCTCAGCCCTATTTAATAAAAGTGTTCCATTTCAGCCAAATTAGAAAAAGAGTAGATTTAAACTTAAGCTTTGAAAGAAATGTAAAACAGTGTTACCTTTCCAACAGGTGTTCTGATAAACCTGTGAAGATCTCAATGGTTCAACAATTGGCTGGAACACAGTGTTGTTACTGACAGATGATATACCACTATCTACAGTCTTCAAAGGTTGTGCCCCTTTCTCCACAACAATCCTACGATTATCTAAGTCATTACTGTATGTTATACTAAGCACACCAGAATCAGGGGATGTCCTTTTAGAGGAAGATTCTTCCTCCTCAGCACAAAAACTAGCATCTGGCTGTAAATTATCTATCCATGTTTGTATGGACAATAGTTTATCATGATCTATGTGAACATCTGTTTTATTATTTTCCTCACTGTCTACAGGAGAATGATCTCGCTGGAAAACATCCTCAGATCTAAGATCAGAAAAATTACAACCTGTGCTTTCTGCATGAGACACAACTTTTCGAATATCACTCTTACCTGTTTCTGTTCCCGATTTACAACTTTTCTTCTTTGGAATGAATGGTTTATTTAAGTCAGTACCACAATTTTCAGGTTCCCATTTAACATTTTTTACTTCTGTTTCTTGTTGAACAAAATTTTGTACACCTTTCTTTGATAGCACCTTATTTCGTAAATCTTGAGGCATGTTATTATGTTGATTTTCTTGTTTCTTTAAAACTTTGTGTCTTAAATCATTAGCACTAAGGACTTTGGGTCTTTGAATTAAATTATTGACTTCATTAGTATCTGACTTTACATTAAACAAATACTCTTCTGTATTATTTGGTGAACTACTACATTTTACTTTTTTGACATCTTTCTGTGAAGTCCACAAATCACTCAATCTTCTTTTTCGCTCTTCATTTAAAGTTTTTTGTTTGAAAACAGATTTATTTTCAATATCGTTTTTGATAGTTCTTTCAATTCTTAAATCTGTATCCATATTGCCTTGAAATAGTTTGTTTGACTCAGGATATCTAATATTTGCTTTGTTTTGCACATTATTTCGTTTTTCAATTGGAGTTGATGAATACTGATGATATCCTGGCAAAAGACTACTATGAACTGATGGAAGAGTTTGGAAACTAGATGATAAATCTCTTTCTGACAAAGATGGTTGTTCACTGGGTGTACGGGGTACAAAACTATAACTATTGTCAGGTGTTATTGGTAATCGTAATGGATATAACGACCTGTTATTTAAACTTCTAATTCCATCAGCATCATCATCAGTCCGTAAAGGCTCATTTACAATAGTTTGTTGATAATAATTTCTAGAATCTGAAGCACTTACTGTTGATGCAGTAAGTAGTGAATTTTTCTGAGTATTTTCAGTTTTTGGCACTGATCTTTGTTGATAGTTCGTGTGACTAGAATGAGACAGCATTGGCCTTTGATAGGATGAATGTGGAACAATACCTTTTCTCATGTCGACATCTTGCATTGAAGCAAGTTGGTCATCAAAACTATATGGTTTCCCATATAACTGACCACTACCTGACTGGCTTTGATGAATTAAACTTTGATGTGGTATATTTGTATGAACTGGACTTTCTGATCCATGTAAGATTTCCATATGATGTTTATGTCCCTCACTTTCGGCTTTTCCATCCTCATCAGTAAGATCCAATAAATCATCATCACTATGTTCATGAGAATCTGCTTCAGGACTAAACTGTGGTTCAGGGGCAATAGAAACACTTTTTGTCGTCTGATGTCGAGAAACACCAGGCTTTGATAAACAAGATTTTGTTCTTTTTTCTGGAACATTATTACTTTGGTAAGGAGCCTGAAATATATCATTGACAAGCATGAAGTTATAAGTTAGTACTGTTACAAATACAATTTTTCTATGATATTTTATTACATTGGCTGGTTTTCTGAAGGGATCAATATCATCTAAAATCTAAAATTACCAAGTGTTAATAGGATAAAACATAATTTTATCTAACAAAATGTTCTTATTTGAATTTGTAAAGTACCATTGTTGTGACAGTACATGCATAAATCACATACATAAGTCACATAAATAGTTATTTAATTTCCTGAATATCACATTCCAATTGTTTGTATCAATTTTTAACCATGGGTTATATTATTTATGCTAGTTTAACATTGCAGAAGTTTTGTTTTCAAACTAGAAATTGGAATCTTGAATAACATACAAGCTACTTTACTTTTACAGAGTGAAGGTATTTTGGGGGTGTTTTGGATTTTAAATGAAATTCTGTATTCACTTAGAACTTGTTGAACTCAACTCTGAGCATTGAAAAGGTATGTAGCATTTATATTTCCAGACACCATGATGGTGAGCTAGGAAAACTTCATTCAAACCCTTTTATTTACAATTAATCTTATATATATGCATGTACTGACTTCAAATCAAATTAAGGTTAGCAAAAAATGCATGTGTAAAAATATGTGGGGGAGAAGTCTTGAGGCAATCATTTTGGAAATCTTGACAAAAATTTCATGCTGGGAAACTTTTTCTGGCTATAATTCTTTGGAGGCCAGTTTTCTTAAAACTCCAATCAATGTCATTTGGACTTTGGTGGATAGCTGTCTTATTAGCAACCATACCTTCATCTATTTTCTTCCTTTATAATTATGAAAGGCCAAATAAAAAAAATACTTGTATTTCGCCTAACCTTATCTATCCTATTTTTTTGTACCTACCAGGGGTATCTTTTTATGCCGAATTCAAATTTAACAAATATTTAAAAGTTGAGAATCCATAAATATTACCATTATCATGATTATATATGATGAACCCTAATGTCCTATTATTCATGTTATTATTTCCAAACACAGCACAGCCATTGTGCTGGTTGATCCTCTAGATCATTAAAAACCCTAGAATAACTGCTGCCCAATTTGTGGTCAAATGGCCCAGTGGTTTTAGACTTAGAAGAAATATTTTTAAAAATTCATTAGACAAATGAAGGACACATCATTAAAGGATACAAAATGATGGAAGTACCTCACATTGGTCCTTTGATCAGATAAGCTAATAAACATGATAAAGGCAATGTGGGGTTAATGACAAGACAGATACCACACAACAACAGTTAACCAAAGCAGACAAATTAAGGTCACCTTTCGACCTTCTACCATGTCTACAAATGGGGAGAGCAATATAAAAAACCAAGATAAATCCAACAAAAAAATATGTCTGGTTCCTGCCTGCTCATCACTCACCCTAAATTTGATTGCCCATCCAGAAAATTATTCAAGAAATAAAGTTTTGTGTTGTTTGAGTAAACTTTCAATCCTTTTTCCCATGGATTATTCAGTAAATATTTTTAATAAGCTTGACCAAAATCAAGTGAAAAATTTGTCAGAGCATTGAAAATTACCGGTACAAATGAACCATCTTGCATGTGCAAACTAATGTAAGTTGATGTTCAGACTTCGAGAAAACATGTATTTTTTCTGTACTTTGTTGATACACAAACAAATAATACATGTAATAAAAAAAAATTTAAATACCAAAAGACTGGTGGCAGGACACAAACATATTTTTTTGGTGCTAAGCCCTTCATTGCTTTATGTCTAGATCAATTGTACATGTGCATTGAAATAAAATTATGTATGCAGTTGGGGTAGTTGATTCCAATTTATTTTGGGAAGAAAATGTATTGATTTCATTCATGAATATTGGATCCAGAGGGCCCCGGGGTGATTAAAATTTCTTATACTGCTTAAACATTTTAAAAGGGTGAATATCCCAAATACAGAGCAACAAAGGTAACTAAGAACAATAAAAGACAAGGACCAAGGGAAGTGATCTTTATCCCTTTATATTAATTATAAACAATTTATGACCCATTCCTAATCATTGCACTTATTAATTTGTTCATGTATATATATATACATAAATTAACCTTATAACAAAATTTAACATGTAAACTATGCAAAAGTTTAAAGTCAATAGATAGTGATAACTCTACAACTGCATATCAATTATCATTGACTTACCATTAGTGGTTCACCTTATACTGACTTCATAATAATTTTGAAAATGTAAACTATGCAAAAAATTTAAAGTCAACAAAAAATGACTAAGGGGGTAGAGCCGAACGATCTCCATAAAGATGTACCAACACAAACACAACTGTATACTTAATTTCAGACGCAGATGCTGAAAACAGCATGCCTAAGTCTCATGTCCATGATTTGGTTGCAAGGGAGACAAATATTGCTTGGTTATGTCACTGTTGGGAATTTATTCAATAGAGACAACCAACCATTTGACACTCAATTCACAACTGACAAAAACATGAGAGAATCATATTAAGAAAGTAAGGCTCTGGAATTTTCCAACAGTTTTTTCAAGTCTATAAAGTATTTTTCAAGGACCTATCAATCCATGCATAGACATTAAATCTAACTTACAATGTCTACAGATGGAAGATGCCATGTGCTGTTACCAGTATTAACATTGAAAAAATACACTCTGTCAGGATATGATGTAGACTGTTTCACAACCCAACCATGTGGCAATGCTGGTTTCTTTGGATCTGTCATTTCAAAATTAACTAAAAGTTCTCATTCTGAAAAATACAAGCAGGGTTTAAGGAGTAATTTGTTTTCTTATTCACATAAACTAAACAGTTTTTACATTTAGAACAAAAGTTTATACACAAAATATATACATCAATGACAGCAACCTAAAAAAAAATCCAAATGACATCTATAGGTCAACATATGTCAACCATTTTGTGGTCTCATGGTAGCCTGCTTGCCAACTCAAACTTAGAAATTGGTTTTAGCTGCTCCTCTGCCAAGCACACAGCATTTCTGAGTAAGATCAAAGACTGGTATGCTCAGAATCAAAATGGGATTTCTTAGAATGGTGATAAAACTTGTATGTCTTCCTGCAGCTTGTGACATGTACATTGTTACATTTTTGTAGATGTAGCTAGCATGTAAAAACTTGACTTAATACAAAATAAAACATACAGTCAAACCTGTATTAAGCAGTTACTCATGGGAAGTATTTAAATTGACTGCACAATAGTGGTGACCTTTTAAATGAGGTTCCGAAAAAATTCCAATTACAACATTGTACATGGCTGGGATCAGGGCAAATTCTTTTAGTTTTTTCAATCGGTAGAGTTATCGTTCGTGCGAGCAGACAAATATTAAATGGCGGATTCCAGCATTCTAAATTTGAAAATAACATTTGAAATAGTTAAAATTCCTGGAGAATTAAGTCGATGATTCGTTTTTCAATGGAAACTGAAAGGAGAGTCACAAGAGAAATTTACTAATCAACCTCCTATTGCGCGATCTTGGTTGCAAATGGGTTTAGATTTTCATTTGGGCCTCGATACTGAAAACATATATTTTTCATCATGATGATATTTTGCCTATTAAAATCATGAAAATGACCATTGTTAAAAAGTGAAATGATGATTTCGTGCGAACATTAGGTGACCGCTGAAAAGAGTTTAATTATATAGAACAAGAATGTGTCCATAGTACACGGGTGCCCCACTCGCACTTTCATTTTCTATGTTCAGTGGACTGTGAAATTGGGGTCAAAACTCTAATTTGGCATTAAAATTAGAACGATCATATCATAGGGAACATGTGTACTAAGTTTCAAGTTGATTGGACTTCAACTTCATCAAAAACTACCTTGACCAAAAACTTTAACTTGAAGCGGGACAGACAGATGGACGAACGAACAGACGCACAGACTGAAAAACATAATGCCCCTCTACTATCGTAGGTGGGGCATAAAAACTGTTTTGGAGGGTTTGAAAGTGACCATAAGAAGCAGGTGACTACTGAAACAAGTTGACCTTTAAGGCAGGTGTGACTGTATGTATAACTCAATAACTCATGAACAAGTTCTCTTCTCGAATATGCATGTACTTTTTACATCTGGAATCAATTTGGAATTTCATGTTATACTTATAGGTGTCAGTCCATTTACAGTTCTTTTAATGGTTATAAGGGAAAATGTGTTCTAAATTTCTGTCATGTCTGTTGGGTGCATAATGAATGCTCCAAAATCGGCATAAATATTGCTTATATATAAAAGAAGATATAGCATGAATAACTATATATACATGTATCTATATTGGTTATCAACTTGTTTTTATAATAAAGATTATGGTAAAATATAAGTATCATTTTCACCCTTCTTAAACGGGACAATTTATACATCACCAATGTTCAAAATATAAAAAAAATATTGAAAAAATATAAGATGTAGTTTTTTTTTATTTATTTCTGTTATTTATGGTGTGTTTTGACTTGAGATGGTATGGGAGTATAACATAAATTGATCGATTTTTTTCATACTTTGCCAAAAATTCAAAATGTAGTATATTCTGATATGTTAAATAAATTGCTTTGCTGAGCGCAGCTGGATACGACCGCAGATGTCCAACCCTGAAAAGTTGGGGCCAAAATAGACACAATATTCACGCTTGATACAGGTCTGAATTTGGATTGTAACTAAATTTTTGACACAGAATAACTGTAGTCAAAGAACTTCAAATTGGTTATATGATTTGAATTTATATAAAATTTTTGCTTTTGTGCAATACACTATGCTGTTGCGAATTGACCCCCCCCCCACCAAAAAAAAAAAATTTTACCCGGGTTTTTTGCTTTTGTGCAATACACTATGCTGTTGAATATTAACCCCCCAAAAAAAATTTAATTTCTGAAATCTGAAATGAGAAAAATTGCCCTCCCATCCAATTTTTTTCACCTCCCCCTTTCCCTTATTCCCAAAAAAATATCTTTCCCTCAAGATATGGTCAGTATCTCAATTCAAATTTCTAATGGAGTTTGCAACCATAATTACCAGTTTAAATACATCATAAAAGTTTTAAAATATAAAATGACATACATAGTCATGGCTAAAATTAATATTAATTAATAGTAACTGCTAAAAATAAATTGACAGCTAATCACCTCAAGACAATCATCATTTCTTAATACATAATTTACAAGCAGTGTAAGGGAGGTAATCAAACAGTGTTCTTTTAATTGATTTGGATTACCTCCCTTACACTGCTTTTAAATTGTCTCAATTGTCCTTTAACCAGAAAAACCCTTGTTTTTCCTCTTTTTTTGCCCCTAGTTACTAATTGGTTTGAACCATAACCACCAGAAGTCAATCCTAACCATCCCTTTGTAGTATGGAAACTTGTGGTATAATTTCAGAGAGATTCATACACTTTAACACAAGTTATTGTCTGGAAACTACAAAAATGCTTATTTGGGCCCCTTTTTGGCCCCTAATTCCTAAACAGTTGGGACCATAACCCCTAAAATCAATCCCAACCTTCCTTTAGTAGTTATAAACCTTGTGTTAAAATTTTATTGATTTCTATTTACTTATACTTAAGTTATTATCCGGAAACCATCTGTCTTCGGACTACGCTGACGACGACAACGACAACGCGATACCAATTTTTATTTTTGCGGTCGTATAAAAATATGATAAAATTGATAAGTCACCTAGCTTTTTTCAAGCTACAGTACTAGTTATACAGTATTTATGAAAAACATCAGTTGGAACGAATTGACCACCAACTTGCAACAAATTGGGCAAATCTGGGATGAAATTTGCATGGAACAATTGGGACTTCGAACAAATTGACATGCATTGGTTTAAAAGATGTCAGAACTTTTGAAAACCATCTAGCGTGTGCAAATTACTGGATGTGTTGTGTAAATTAGGATCACACTTAGAGAAACATTTAATTTTCTTGAATTTGTGGATCTGCCTTAGTAACCCTACAACATTAATAACAAATTCAGACTCACCAAACCTTAATCTGAAAGGCTGGAGGCCAGAAAAAGACATTTTGGGGGCTTTATATACCCAAAAGTGGCAGCACATCATCATGCTAACTTGAAAATCTGAGTATATAACTAATAAATTGCTTTTCCTTGATTGTGTCGTCACCAAAATGTGCCTAAATATATACCAAATGTGTATTTGCCATAAGCAATACACCTTATTACTATTTAGTCAATTCCGGAAAAAACAGTCATTTAGGCAACTTCCTATTTGGGTCAAATATCGCAAAAACAAAGGTCATCAGCAATGAGCTTAGGGAGGAAAAAGTTTGGAAAGTAAACATTTTAAATTTTTATAGTTTATGAAGCAATTTTTAAAAGACAAATTTAAGTAATTAATCAAAGAGCTGAAAGCTCTGAGGAAAAATGAAACATAACATAAGAATGCTAAACTTTCCTGAAAAAAGGGGTGAGAACTTGAAAAAAGCCTTTGTTGAACTAGTAAATAGTGACCTAAATGTAAATATTGAGCCCAGTGATGTGCTAGCCATCCAGAGAATACCTGGAAAAGAAGGTTACCAGAAGCCTGTTATCGTGAAGGTTAGAAACACTGACACTAAAATACGGATAATGCGACAAAAAAGATCCTTGAAAAATGAACTTAAATTTCATGATGATATAACACAACGCAATATTGGACTTATGGCAAGACTTAAGAACACTGAAAAATTTGAAAATGTATGGTTTTACAACTGTAACGTGTATGCCAAAACTGAAACTAGTAGCAGAATAAGATTTGACCTGTTTGACAATGTAGATGAAAAAATGAAAAAGAAATTGAAAGAGGGAACTTAATCAATCTTGTTTTGTCAGTTACATCATTTAATTTATTTTTGAATAATGTCCAGCTTTTTATTAATTTCAATAGATAGATATAAATGTAAAAGATAATTGCTGAAGTAAAAAGTGTTTTATATCAGTCGTGAATTACATATTCCTATATAAATAGTTAAGAATATAAGAGATATTCATCTTGATAAATTTGTTTAAAATAAATTATACTGTCACTATACAGTAAAGGGGAAATAACTCTAACATTAATAATGATATAAATATTCAATTTTATCTCCCTTTTAAACATCTATTCCTTTGATAGATTTATGTATAATTGTTACATGCCATACTGTAAATAAATTAATACATTCAATGTTGAATGAAGAAAATAATAAGAGACATCTTATGTTTGTATGTGTGTATGTTTGTGTATGTCAAATTTGTTACAATTGTATATTTGTACTTATGAACTTACTTATATGGTTTATAAAACATCCCTTCATCTATAATCATGGATAATAATGTAACGATATTATCAATGAATGTGAGGGGACTTTTCTCAAATTCCAAAAAGAGGGCAGATGTATTTGATTGGGCTAAGAGTAAAAATACTTCGATAGTGTGTTTCCAGGAAACTCATAGTAAAAAAGACATTGAAAAAAACTGGGAGGATGAATGGGGAAGCACATGTTTTTTCAGTCATAAAGACAGTAAAAGTGCAGGTGTCTCTGTTATGTTTAAAAAGGGTCTGGATTTTGTTGTGCATAATTCTGTTACTGATGATAATGGTCGTTACATTGTTTTAGATGTATCAATTTTTTCACAAAGAATGAGTTTTGCCTGTTTGTATGGTTATAATACAGATGAACCTGCATTCTTTGATATAATAATGCAGAACATTTTATCCTTTAAAAACACAAGTGTTTTATTATGTGGTGACTGGAATGTT